GGTACCATACTCCTCCAGTGTAGGCATTTTGCTCCCCGAGCTTCCACCTCCAACACCAGCACCAATGGTCTCAGCACTCTCACCAACCATTCTAATAACCTAATTGCAAAATGGAATTCCTTCAGGTTCAGAATATCAACACCATAGGGAAAAAAACGAACATACATAAAAAAAAAGGTGTGAAAAGCATTTACCTGAGCTCTAATGTTACTAAGGTCAGCACCTAAATTCTCAAGGACACGAGCCGCCACGCCTTCACCCTCCCGAAGCAATCCCAGAAGCAAGTGCTCAGATCCAATGTAATTGTTACCTGACTCAAAAGGAACGTGTATTAGTGTTGCTTTGGTGGTTAGACCATGAAGATTGGAGAGGATACAACCCCCCACCCACAAGAGACGAAGAACAAGAAATGCACCAAAAAGTCAGCGAGAAAATGATATAAAAGATAACTTGAAAAGCTCTGATTACAAAACTAGCTGGGGATTAGGGTTACAAAAGAGAACCAGCAAGGTAAGAAAATTACATAACCCAACAGCCACCATTGGTGGTCTAACTCCGTCTATCCCATTCAGTTGACACGACAAAACTCACCAGTCTTAAGATATTTCACAATCACACCCTTTAAATTTTCATAAATACAAAAAAACTAACCAGAATAATCAAGAGATGCAAAAATGTCGACGCCTCAACAGAATATGAAAATTTTGGTTAATGTAATATTTAAAAAGTTAAGGATGTAACTGCAAAAGTTTTATTAAGACAGAAATTCTCAATAGCCCCACCTAGAGCAGGTGCAAAATAAAATAAAAAATGAAGTACATTACTCGAGTATTTCCATAATTTTTAAGTATCTGGGTGTTTCTTGTAACCTCAAGAGTAGTGCCCATAACCATCCATATGAAAAATTAGCAACATACGAAAAATTAAAGGATTTACCAAGCTGCCGGGCCTCCTCTAATGACAGTTCAAGGACACGTTTTGCGCGGGGGGTAAAAGGTATCTCAACCGGAACAAATCCACTCCCACGTCCAATTATCTTCTCCACCTCCACACGTGCTTCCTTGAGAGTAATTCCAGTTGACTTGAGGACCTTAGCCGCAATTCCAGTGCCCTCACCAATAAGCCCAAGCAAAATCTGCTCGGTCCCAACAAAATTGTGCCCAAGTCGTCTCGCCTCATCTTGCGATAGCATAATCACCTTTATAGCCTTCTCCGTGAATCGCTCAAACATTGCACGTGGAGGAGCCATTCGTTGTTTTCTTCTTTGTTTGGTTAAAGTGGTGGCATTTTTTAGCTTCGATTGAAGAGAGGGACCGCTTTTCTGAAACATTACATCTAAGGCATTGACCCCACGTAGTCCAATGAAACTTTGAATCCTCATGGGAGTTAAACGTGAGCTGCAAAGCATGGTGGGTGCCTTTCTTGTTCTGTTATATCCCACAAACTGTTTGTTTTTTGCCCAACTAACAGAAGATGGCAAGCAGGTTGACTGAAGTAAAGCATGCGCCATATTTTGCCTTGGGTCTGCATACGTGCCCAAAAGTGATTATTGATTAGAGAGCTGACAATAGCAAATGTGATCAGCTATAAATTTACTCCATCACATGGAAAAAGATTTCCTAATGGTTCAAAAAAACGAAAGGGAAAATAAAGACCAGATTTTTCCTCAAATTTTTGTATAAAAAATCATGGAAAAGTTCTAAAGTCACCCACAGCAAGTTAAAACAATAACATACTTGAACAAATGTAATAATTCTTTTCTCTTGAAAGAAAGCAGCCAATATTAACAAAAAATAGCTACATCCATGACTACAAACACAACTCTGTGAGTATCTACAAGTCTAGGGGTGAGCATCATTGCGGTTCGGTGCAAAACCGCAACAAACCAACAATGGTAAAATGTCCAAACCGAACTGCACCGAATGTGGAGAAAAACCAAACCAAAACCGCACCGAAATTTTCGGTTTAATGCGGTTTTGGTGTTGGTTAACGCAAATATATTAGACTAGTACTTTCTCCAAGTCCATAAACCAGGTACAGTTCACAACCTTCAATCTACTAAAATGTCTTTTGACACTATATCACTCGCATAACACATAACTAAAGTACGAAAGTATCATTATACAAAAAAAATACCGAAATTGGGAACAAAAAAACACCAATCAATTAAGGATGGCGGAGAGTGAAAGTCAGAGCTTACATTAATTGGAGAGACAAAAAGCAGCCGGCGGCGGACGAGGACAGTAGAGAGACGAGAAGAGAATGAAAGCCTAAAGGTGAGAGTGTGAGACGAGTTGCGAGTGCGGAGCTTACATAAATTAAGCACGGCGGAGGCCGAAGGAATGTCGACAAAGACCCGGACGCTGGCGATTGGAAAGGCAAAAAGCAGCCGGCAGCGGGCGAGAGACGAGATGAGAGTGAAAGCCGGAAGTAAGTCTGAGATGAGACGAGGCGAGTCTCAATTCTGAAAAACTAGGGCATATAATTTCTTAATTGTTGTCAAAGGAAAAGCGTGGTTAGAGATGTAAACATGTCAGGTCGGGTCAAGTTCGAATTCGAATTTTGCCGCTTTGGCAAACCGAACCTAACAAGTATACTTTTTTGGGTTCGGTTTGCCAAAGCGGCAAAACCGTACTTCATACCTGACAGGTTTACATCTCTAACCACGTTTTTCTTTTTACATCAATTAAAAAATTACATGCCTAGTTTTTTCGGAATTGAGACTCGTCTCGTCTCATCTCAGACTTACCTTTCGGCTTTCACTCTCATCTCATCTCTCGCCTGCTGCCGGCAGCTTTTTGCATTTCCAATCGCCAGCGTCCGAGTCTTGGTCGTCATTCCTCCAGCCTCCGCCGTGCTTAATTTATCTGCACTTGCAACTCGTCTCTCACCTTTATGCTTTCATCATTCTCTTCTCGTCTCTCTCATGCCCCGTCTCTCTCATGCCCCGTCCGCCGGCGGACGCTCTTTGCCTTAAGCTCTGACTCTCTCACTCTCCACCATCCTTAATTGGTGTTTTTTTGTTCTCAATTTCGGTATTTTTTTGTATAATAGTGTCTTGACACTTTCGTATTTTAGTGATGTATTAAGCGAGTGATAAGGTGTCAAAAGACATTATAGAAGATTGAAGGTTGTGGTAGTTTATGGACTTAGAAAAGTACTAGTCTAATATATTTGCGTTAACTAATGCCAAAACCGAACTAAACCGAAAATTTCGGTGCGATTTTGGTTAGGTTTTTCTCCACATTCGGTGCAGTTCGGTTTGAACATTTTAACATTTTCGATTTTGGTTTGTTGCGGTTTTGCACCGAAATGCAAGGATGCCCAACCCTAGACTTGTAGATAGGGGTGTTCATCGGTTCGACCGAACCGAATTACAAAAACCGAATTAACCGAACGATTTTATGTCAAAAACCGAGCCGATCGAAATATTTCTTAAAACAAAAATACAACTGAACGGAATTATTCGGTGGGTCCGTCGATTTATTTTGGTAGTGAAGAGAAGACCCTTCAATCTTAGTTTTTTCGTTTCTTATAATCTCCAAAATTAAAAAAAAAATAAAATAAATTGAAACTACGTTATAAAGTTGAGATCCAATTTGAGTCAAAATTACCAAAAAAATAAAATAAAAAGAAACAGATCGGTGACATTCAAAAATAAAACAAAAAAAAAAAATACTTACCGTAAACTTGCAGTCGTGTCCCGTGTGTGTGCCTGGCGAGACGACGACCGGTGACCACGAGCTCCTTGACCGGACCGAAGACCGAACTACACGCAGACGCGAGATGAGGGGTTGATTGTTTCGCTAGGCGGACGATTCCGGGGATGTCGGGATGGTTTGGTTTGGGGCGATTTAAGGTGAATTGCGGAGGAGCAGCGGCGGAGAGCAACGGCGGAGGACCAGCGGCTAGGAGTGTACAGGCGGATGATTTAAGGACGGCCGCGGAGGATATGGGGGAAAGGATCTAAAATGCGATTATGCGAACTGCGAAGCGAAGGAGTGTCTACTCTTCTGATTTAGGGTTATTTGACTTAATGAGTTAATGTACATTTTATTAAAATGAGGGGTTGATTGTTTCGCTAGGCGGACGATTCGGGGGATGTCGGGATGGTTTGGTTTGGGGCGATTTAAGGTGAATTGCGGAGGAGCAGCGGCGGAGAGCAACGGCGGAGAGCAACGGCGGAGGAGCAGCGGCTAGGAGTGTACAGGCGGATGATTTGAGGACGGCCGCGGAGGATACGGGGGAAAGGATCTAAAATGCGATTATGCGAACTGCGAAGCGAAGGAGTGTCTACTCTTCTGATTTAGGGTTATTTGACTTAATGAGTTAATGTACATTTTTATTAAAATATTATAAATTTATAATATATAATATGATATTATATATATATATTATTCGGCCGGTTCGGTTTCGAACATTTTGTGTCCGAAAACTGACAACGACCGCAATAACCGAAAAATTACAAATTGAAAATCGACTACCGAGCGAGTCGGATAAAACCGAATTGAAATTGTCGGTTTCGGTCGATTTCAGTCAAATTTTGCACACCCCTAAACAAATCTGATTCATCGCTTGTTTACAAAATAATTCGCCCAAAATGAGTTTTTTTTTTTTTGTTAACTTGGATTAATTTTGAAAAAGTTGTATGATTAGTTGTTAGTAGGATTTTAAGAATTTATTAAAATAGTATCTAAAATAAAATAATTAATTTGATTTGATGTAAAAGTAGGAGGTAAATAATTGGAAATGATAGGTAGTTAAAATTACTGGATTACTAAATACCGCACCCATTGACTACCCACCGCACCCTAAAAAATATCAATTTGCCCTTACTAATTAAAACAAAAACAAAAAACAAAAGAAAATTGTTGTAAATATTAATTTGTGGACATTACCTAGATATAAGCTTTGTAGGTATGGGCCAGGAGCCCATTAGGTCTTTAGTCATGTACATTGTATTTCTCTTATATATAGGGCTCAAGTGAATGAATAAGATGAGGGTTTTGACGGCGTATCTCTTCTCTCTTATTCTTTTACTGCTTTCTCTCTCTTTGTCTATTTTACACATAGATTTTACATATTGTCAATCTATATTACAACACGTTATCAGCACGAGTACTCTACCATCTAAGCTTATGGTTGCGACATCAAGACGAACGGGTAATCAAGGTACGCTCTAATCTACAATTTTCGTGTTTACCCTATTGGTGTTTGCCTTAGGAAAGAATTTGTCTTTCGCGCAAGGTACATCCAATCTTCTTGGTTTCATAGCTATTTGATTTTGAATTGAATTTTTATGGATCAAATTTGCTGATTATGTTTAAGTTTAGTTAAAATTATTTGATGTTAATTAAACTAGAATTAAGAAAAGAATTTGGAATAAAGAAATAAAGAAAGGAAAACTATCATCTTCTTGCAGACACTTTATGATGCTTCATGTTTCGTGAAATATCTGTTTTGCTGTTTGTTTAGAGAGATGTACGTACACATTTAGCGTCATCATATTTAATTAATTTATTCACTTTTTTTTTACAATTTTCGCCTGTCACAAATTCATAATGAAGCATTATATATATTAATAAAATTGGGCGAAAAAAAAAAAAAAAAA